TTCTGACTATGTCTTGGGTCGCGGACGGAAAAGTAGCGCGTCGATACTCGCGCCCGTTTTCGGTGAGTTTGAGAGGCTGCGCAAAGGCATCTGTGTTTGTTATAATTACTTTGTTAATACATTTATTGCCATATGACTTGTTACTTTTTCTTCTACACTCGCCCCTTTGCAGTAGAGTAATTGAATTTCATACCTATATTTCTATAATAGATGTGCGATCACTGGAAGGCGAGATATAACCTTATTTCTCCGACAAGTAGCTCAAAGATACACCACCCACTCTTATTACAAGTGAACTATTAGCTTTATGCCACGTCCTGATACATTTTTTATAATTTACACTTTGATATAATTTATCCTTAATATATAAGAAACATGTATTAAAGTATATCTTTATATTATAATATATAGGCAAACTTAAGTGAACTAACACAAACTCCTGGCCCGCCGCCATACCTACATCGCCCTCGAAACCCATCATTCTTTTGCTAAATATTTAATGCAAACCTTTGTCATAAGCCAGTATAATAAGTTCTTGTAATAGACTATGTTAATATACACGCACAGAAAGCATAAATTCCTGAAAAGTAACCCAAAAGAGCGTGTATTTAGAAAGAAAATCCATGCCCCTATACAGCAGACAGGTTCAGCCAATGTCTCTCTTGTTGGATAGAGGCAACAGGAGAAGCTTTGCTATGTTACTAAATAAAGTGCATTTTAATTGCAATAAGAAGAATTTTTGACGACACTGTATCAAAGAGAAAGTTAAGAGATTATACTGTGCAAAGTATATGGGCTGACACTAGAAAAATAAGGAGAAAAATAGCCTTTGAAACTGGATGTAAGACGTTGTCCTACTTGAAGCGTAGGGGGAGATGGGACGGGAATTTTTACAAACAGTTTCTTTGAACTTTTTTCGGTAAAGAGAGGACGAACCATTGAAATATATATACCGTAAATAAGATAAAAAATTCATTCGTCGTCTGAGGTCGGATGAATAACAATGCTTACCCAGATATAATGTAATTTGATGATAATGTTTGCCAGGGGGCGTGTGACATAGGGACCAAGTTCCCCTGGCATGTGTGGGAGGCTGAAGACAGATGACATTCATATCTGTATCATTTGCAAAATAATTCTGCATTTTGTGTTTTTCCTATTGAAATTTTGAGTATGTAGTTCGAAAATCCCTTGATGTACGCGAGGATCTGTCACCATGAATAACGCAGGAGTTAAAATAGGTCTAATGTCATTAATCCTGGCATATAGGGACTCACCTCTTCACATGTGTAATTATTTTTTGTGTCAAAATATGACATAACACATAAAATATATAGAGTTTTAGACAAGACATACGATAGACGTCACTAATCAGTAATTATATTGATGATTAAGTTTTCACATTAAGCCTATAGATATAATTTAGGCCTATATCTACATAATACTCTTAATGTGTGAATGGAGAGACGACGCTTTATTCAATATTTAATGGGTCTAACTGGGAAGAAAATATAACCACAAAATATTTGTGATACAATTTTACAGATCTAGAGGCAGCGCTGAGAACTTATAACGCCGGTAGATTAAGTGCCCTATTTAAGGGTCTTGCCAAATCGTGCAAAGAAACTGCAGGGTCGTTTGCATCTTGGGCAACACCCGCTTATTGCATCTTTATTCCATTTATTATTTATTACTTCATATTCTCCTAATAAAAATTCGTATCTACATATTTTACAGGATGGATGTCCATGTTGCAACAATCACCCATTCTTGTCACTTGTTTTCATCGATTACGGTTTATTCTATATAATCATGTAATACATTTCTACTAAGTTTTGCCGTTCAAAGGTTATATATATATATATATATATATATATATATATATATATATATATATATATATATATATCAATTGTTCAACAAACGTAGAATAAATCAACAGATAGATGAATAGGTAGAAAATATAATCATAAACAAATACAGACACGAGTGTTTGTGAAGACATACATCGTTGGGGAAAATATGTAAAGAGGTTTACAAACTAATGAAATCATATCAGATATGAAGGAAAACAAGATGTTGAACATACTGGTCTACAGTGAAAAAATCAATAATCTGCCACAGAGCAGTAGCTGAAAGAGAACTATAGTCGGCAGAACAGGAGAGATCTGACCTCGAAAAGGCGCTCGGTGGCACAGAGTAACGTACAGTGCAAACAATTGTAGTTTACCCTCTTTTGCAATTTTCTTTCCTGTTATTTTCTCGCCTGTAATAGCGTGTCATAAACACTGTATTGCGTAAGTTAAACTACACACATCTGCGATTTATCCTATATTTATATTACAATTTCTTTTTTCATTAATGTGGCTGAGCTACAAAATGTTAGAGTTGGATGTTTCAAAAGGAGAACTGCTGCATGTGTTATTTATTCATGTCAAAACGTACGTTCTTATAGCAACCAAACCCGAATATGATAAGTCGACTGAGATCAAATTTCTCA